TTTGGAAAGCTTATTAGAATAATCAAGAACCTATACTGGCGGCAGATAGAAAATGAGTCCAACAGATACACAAAACTAGAAAGGGTTGTAAGACAAAGATGCAGCTTCTCACCGGACTTAACCTATATAGCGAGGTGATTCTAAGAGAACTAGAAGTCCTGCCAGGGTTCATTATTGGCGGCAACAATCTTAACAACATAAGATATGCAGATGACACAGTGTTGATAGTGTAATATCCCAGCAACAGAAGGGAGATAACCCCTAGAGACACAAGAGTTAGGTCCTCTCCGGACATCCGGTTAATCTTAATCAGCAGTTTAGCAGCAAAAGGGAATAGAAGGCTACCATCACCCGAGGGACAATCAACAACCATCCTAACATCCTATCAACGCATTAATCGATGCCTAGCAAGTATCGATAGCCTCTTGCGCGGAATATTACATTGGCGACGAGGACTGAGTCGTTACCCTCACAAAAACAGAACATCAACACACTAAAAAAAAAAAAGAAACAAAAATTCAACACGTGTTCGACATATAACCAATATGGCCGCCGTTCCACACTACCCCGAATTTGACTGTGAGTCAACAGCCAAAGCAGCAAGATGGACAAAATACTTAAAAAGACTGAAAAACTATTTTGTCGCACATAACATTGAGGATGACAAACGGCAAAAAGCAATCCTACTAACGTTTGTCGGCGAGGCTACGAATGACATCATCGACGAAATACCACAGGAGCGAGTCACACTGGAAAAAAATGAAACACATTTCGACAAGCTTGTCTCAGCGGTGCACAACCACTTCAACCCTGAAAACAACACGGAATACAACCGATTCGTGTTCCGAAAAATTAAACAAAATAGCCCAGGAATCGAAGACTTCTACCGCAAACTAAAGGAAGCTGCGGCTATGTGCCGTTTTTCCGACATGGATTCCGAGGTGAAGTCCCAACTAATTACAGGCTGCCTGTCGGAAAAAGTCCGCCAGAAGGGACTCATGAACTCAGATATGTCACTACATGACTTAATAAACTACGCAAGGACAACGGAGACGATAGCGTCGCACCTACAAACAATGCGACTGGAAGACAACAACACCGCTACTGCTAAAACCGCCCCAATAAACAAAGTCGCAGACGAACAGCGCCGACCAAGCAACTATCCCCGGCGATACCAGTGCAGGAATTGCAACGGAAAATACCCTCATGAGCAGGGACCGACGTCTTGCCCTGCACTTCATACCCAGTGCACATACTGCGGAAAGTGGGGACACTTCACATTCGTCTGTTTCAGAAGATTAAACGACGGAAACAGACAACGGAACCCCCCCCCCCACGAACACAGACCAATCGACGCTCGGTGAACCGCATTGAAAACGACCAACGGAACCCACATAGCAGTGGTAGTGATACAGAATACGTGTTCCACACAGCTGGAGCTCGGAACTTGCCACCTCCAATTGAAAGGGATACTCCAGCAAACAGGAGTTCATCTTTATTTTTGGGGTTTCCCAACCAGATAAAAGGTCAACTTGATGAACAATCACAGACTCTCCACAAAATCAATTCTACAGTCCAGAAACTTGAAGCTGAAAACGCTCTTTATAAACAAGAATTGATGACCGCCCACACCAATATTCACCAGTTATCATCTCTTTTGGATAACGAACGACGAAAATCCCATTTGTCTTTGGAGAGACACTTCATCCAAATGCAAGAAATGCTGTGCACAGAAATGAAGAGAATGTCACATGAAATAAATGAATTGAAGCTTAAATGTTGTCAACAGAATTTTCCTGCCACTCCTTCATCAACTTATCCGCAAACTGCTTCTAGCAGTTTCCAACAAAGCAAGAGATTGTCACAAAATGCAACATATTTGCGTCCTCAAAATGATGTTTATGAAGACGCTCTCAAGTTTTATCAAAAAGTTAAGAAACGTCCAACAACAGTTGCTTCAACAGATTTTCAAAATCCATTGTACTCCTCTTCAAATGTCCAACAGATGTCAACAAAATGTAAGTCGGCACCTTGTCCACAACTGTCTGTGCCAGAGCCACAAGTCATGTCTCCACTCAACTCCATCCAGAAAATGCTACACCTTAGACAGTCACGCAAGAAAATTCATAACAAAACCTCGAGAACTGATGCCAGCCGTTCGAAAATGTCCAACACTTCATCTGACCAAGACCTTGATTCTTCTCCAAACCAGACCATAACTATTTCTTCCACTCAGAATCTCACATTGCAGGGCGATGAAGAAGATCTTCATTCTGATGATTCCAATTTTGATTTGCTTGATTCTCGCAGCTTTGGAAAGTCCGAAGGTGGCTTGGAAAGTAGGTCATCCGAAGATTTGGCTTTAGAATGGCTGTGGCCGGACCAAAAAAAAACCCCGCCTGCCACACTTGATCACACCCATAGCTGGAGACCCCAGCATCAGGGAGCGTGACACACAAGCCAAGACAACTATAAAACGATACGCTGACAGGAAAACATACGTGAAACCCAATGATCTCAAAGTGGGTGACACAGTCATTATAAAAAAACTACACACACACTACAACACCACCAAAATCTAAAGACACTCAGGCACAACATGCTCCCAACCTCAGGCGCACAGGTCGAGCAAGACGGCCACCCAAAAGACTCGATTGCTAAACCCCTCTCAAAAAAAAAAGAAAAAAGAAAGCATTGTAATATCCCAGCAACAGAAGGGAGATAACCCCTAGAGACACAAGAGTTAGGTCCCCTCCGGACATCCGGTTAATCTTAATCAGCAGTTTAGCAGCAAAAGGGAATAGGAGGCTACCATCACCCGAGGGACAATCAACAACCATCCTAACATCCTATCGATGCCTAGCAAGTATCGATAGCCTCTTGCGCGGAATATTACAGATAGCAGACACAGAAAGCAAGCTACAAAAACTCTTACAGAAGGTAATGAAGGAAAGCGAGAAGAAAGGACTAAACATCAACTGCAAGAAGACGGAATGCATGGTTGTTAGCAAAAGGATAAGCCCAAAATGCAAATTTGCAAATCGGAAGTACCAAAATCAAATAAGTGCGAAAATTTAAATATCTGGGAAGTGTTTTAACAGAGGACAGAAAGTGTGACACTGAGATCTGAAGGCGTATTTGGATAGGCAAAGATGCATTTCAAAAGCTAAGCAAAGTACTATGAAATAGAAAATTTTCGCTAGAAACACGGAAATGGTTACTAAACTGTTACGTGATATCTGTCCTCCTCTAAGGCAATGAGTGCTGAACAGTTTCCTCAAAGATGAAGAAGAGACTTACAAAACAACAGAAATTTGGTTCTACAGAAGGATGCTGATGATACAACTGACCAAACATGTGAGCAACAAAGTTTTAGAGAAAATGGAAACAAAAAGGAAACTTATACTTAGCACCAGGAAGAGACAGTTGAGGTTTCTAGGGCACATAATGAGGAAAGAGAGCTTGGAAAATTTGATACTGACAGGATAGATTGAAGGCAAGAGAGACAGAGGAAAATAAAGCATAACATACTGAGTAAACGGATGACGGAACAAAGCTTATGAGAAATAACAAAGTCTACAAAGGGTAGGAAGTTGTGGAGATCCATGAATGCATACGCCCTGAGGAGACACAGCAAATAAAGAAGCCGAAAATGTACTAATTTAAAATTGTGCTCAGTTTCCGAAATCAGGATGCGAAAACTATCTTCCATCCAATTCAATGGAAATCATTGCAGCCCTTACGGAATGTCGCACGCATGCGCGAAATTAGCATTTATAGCTGGAGTAAAATATCGTATTTAAAATTTTTTGAAACTTTCTGAATACCATATTTATATTTTAGACGATATAGGAAGAAAAGAATTCTCAAGGGCATGCGCGTGTAAGTCAGATGCGACGTGTATATAAAAAAATATTTTAAAAAATACTTTGAATGTGTGTAATCTAAAATAAGTGCAGAAACTTCCAGAAATTTCAGGTTCTTAGTCATCGCTTAAAGATTTTCACTGAAAGATCAAGAGACCAAGTAAAGCACGTTCTCGCTTGTAGATAGAATAAAAAAAAGCCTAATTTCTCAGAGAACGTCGTCCGAAAATGTATAAAGAGCTCTTTTTTTTTTGTATGTCTTCTGGCTCCATTGTAGCTAAAACGTACTGAATTAAATTTACCCAGCATGAATTAAGAACGTTAATAAATTGCATCACTATCGTAGCAACAAGAAAAGAGTTTGTTAGTACAACATATTTACACTTACAAGCATACATTTTGAGGCATTTGTGAAGAGAACTTGAGCAATACAACCTTGATGGCTACTGTGATGAGTCGATCCTTACAGGATGACTTCTGTGTTAGGTTAAAGTTACCCTCACCTTTCGTTAGCAAGGTCATTTTGTGTAGTTGGTTTGATCAACTATCGTGCCTCTTTGTAAATTAACCTTAGAAACTTCATGAAGCTACAGATATTTCCCCAGTGTTTCTCTTCCTTTCAGTATGGCATGTGAGTGTTAAATTTTCTAAGCCCTCTTTCCTCATTATGTGTTATTTCAACAGTGTTGTTCTGATTGTAAGTGTGTATCATTTGGATGCCTATTTTTCTTAAAGCTTCTTCTTACTCACATGATCAGTCAATGCTGTTCTTAGCCTGCGTCAGTCGAGTCACATTTCTCTCCCTTCAAGTCCCTTCCTCATCTGTGAAGAGATTGTGATTTTGTTAGAGATCAGAAAGAAAAGACTGATTCATTTTGAAATATTTTCGAAATAAACTTTTATCTCAAAGAATATTCAATCGACAAAAACTTTTACTAGTTGTGCAAATTCACATTGTTTAATTAATACTTTCTTTCTTTAAAGAATTTAAATTCATTTCGAATATGTCAAAGATATAAAAAAAAAACTAGACGAGAAATTCCTTGTTAGTTATAAACTTGACATACGAAACATTTCTGATCATCTATTTCCTTTTCTATCCAACTGATATTAACTAGGCTTATTGTCACATCACATTGAAACACTGGTTCCTGTATGATCACCGAAGTTAATCAATGTCGAGCCTGGCCAGTATTTAGATGGATGGTCACTTGGGAATACCAGGTGCTGTAAGCTTGGGTGTGCGGGTGGTGTAATGGATAATGGCTCTGAATTCTTAATCGGAGAGCCGAGTTCCAATTCTAGTTGGGTTCGTTATATTCATTTACACGTAAATACCCCCCGGAAAGGTATAAATCTACCTCTTCCCCCCAGCTACGGGTTAATTAGTAAGACTTCTTTCACTAAACCATTATCTTCAAAAATAAAATAAAATTGTATACAAAATATTTAGATTTCGGTATTAAGTAACCCATAGAGATTGATATGCTGCTAAACAAAATTAACTAACCAAGATATTTACTATCAGCTATCCGTTTGGGAATTTTGTAATTGAAAGTTCGATAAGGCAACTCTCGATGTTCTCCTGACTTAAACAGTTACCTGCACGCAACTCATATTTTGGGCGCTTGCTTGGAAAAGGCAAATTTAGGAAGTGTTTAACAGAAAATCCAAGAGAAGAGAAACGGTTTCAAAAGAAGACATTACTAATATTAGTTCGAAAAGCAGGAATTCAAAATTCCTTGCACAATATTCTATACTGACATTTTCTTCTGAATAGCAACTGAGACATAGGAAACAATCGTGTGCATAAACCTGAGAGAATCTCCCTTCTCACACACAGGAATTAGGACAATGTACTTAGTGGATATCAGAAATAAGTTCTAATTTAATTATTTCGTATTTTGTGTGCTTTTTTTTTTTAACAGGTTAATTGGAGTAGGCTAATCTACGGCCGACCTGAACTCCTTTCATGTCTATTGAACACGAGTAGAGGTTCATCCCTTGTTTCAGAATATGATTTACCGGTTCTCTTTCTTTTACTAGGGCCACAATAATTTAACATTTTGGTGATCGCACTAACCAGTGGCTGTGATTTTCCATTGTTAGGGTAATGGATTAGCTGTTTGCTGGCGGTTGCTTTCATGTCGCGCATGGGTAGGTGTCACTGCATGTATTTCCGGTGGGCAACTCTAAGATTACACTATATTGTTCTCAGCCACGCTTTGGCTAGTTTATATTATCATTGACAACAAATAGTGACAATTTACGGTTGTCTTTTCTCTCTCTCCTCAAAATGAATCTCATGGAAAATACAATACAAAGAAATACAAGTAAACCAGTAAATAAAAACCATCTACTTCCGCTCAACATTTCTTTCTCTAATATTCGTGGTATCTGTTCAAACTTCTGCAGCGTAGAATCTTTCCTCTTGGAACGGTCACCAGATATCTTTGCCCCCTGTGAAACGAATTTAAATTCTTCCATTGCTATCTTCCCCTTTGCCGAAAAGATTTCAACATTCACATGCATCGCCTGGATGTTTACATCCGGGATAATCTTCCGATAACCAGGGAATTGTTTCTTGAGGTCCCGGACTACTTTTTCACGTGCTTCTGTCTTTCGTTACTAAACTCTGTTATCTATCTCTTTTTCTTTTATCGCCCTCGCCTCTTCCCGGGACTAAAGTATATTATACATAATAATTGACAGTATAGAAAAGGCATTTTCTCTCCATCCATCTGCGAATATCTTTGTCTTCGGTGACTTTAATACTCACGACGACACTTGGCTTAAACATTCTAAGGTACTGATGTTGTCGGTATTCAGGCATTTAATTTTTCCATTGCCCAATCCCTTACTCAAGTCGTAGACTTCCCTATCCGTCTCCCTAGTAAAACCGAGCAACAGGCTTCACTACGATTTATTTCTTGCCTCTTCTCGCTCTTGTCGAGTTTCGCAACACTGCCCTCTTGATAACTCGGACCATTCTGTGGTATCTATTGATATTTCGTTCCAATTAAACAGGAATCCCTATCGATAAGACTTCTTTTCGTTACCAGCATACTGAGTGGGACTCACACCGTGATTTTCGTTGTGACGCCCCTTGAACTGACATCTTTAACCTCCCAAATGAAAATTACGCCACTGAGATTACTTCTTGGGTCAAAGCCGGCATTGAAATACCAGGTGAAACCTCAATATTCTCCATGATTCACACCAGCATGCTCGCCCGCTATAGCACACAGGAACCACTATTTTCGGCTATACCAAACTGGCAGCTCTCGCAAAAACAGGTGCCTATTTCGTTACTGCTCGCAATAAATGTAAGCGAGTCCTCAAATACTCTAACAACTTTGGCTCTCGTGATTAATGGCGGCTCTGTAATAGGGCATTAAATAAGTGTAATTTCTCTGTTTCTCCCCTTTTCAATCAATTTGAGGTTTTATCATCGTCTGCTGATAAAGATGAATGCTTTGCTCGTAAATTCTCCTCTTCTTTTGACTCATCCGGAGTATTACTGCCTAACTTCCCGCTTAGAACTGAGTCTCTGTTGAGTGATATTCATATAACCCTTTCCGTGGTTTTTGCTATGATCTCTAACTTAGATCTCCACAAAACATGTGGATCCGATGATATCCTTGTAATAGTCATTAAGAAGTGTGCTCGCGAACAGGCTCCTGTTCTCTCTAAACTGCATAAACTGCCTCCTGCTTTCCTACCTGCTCGAACTTATCTGTTTTTCTAGTTTTTAAGAACTCTGGTGAATCGTCCGACCCTTCCAACTATCGGCCTATTAGCTTCCCGCCTTTTTTTTTTTTTTTTTAAACTCCTAGAGGGCCTAATCGATGTTGAATTGGTTCATAATCTCTCATCGCAGGGCCTATTCTCAGACAAGCAATATGGCTTTCGTTCCTCCAGCTCAGCTGCTAATGTACTGACGATACTTGCGGAGAGAATCTCACATGCTATAGATAAAAACGGTGAAGCCCTGGCTGTAGCATTGAATATCTCAAAAGCCTTTGACAGGGTCTGTCATTCAGGTCTTCTCGATAACCTGAAAGGTTACGGTGTTTCTGGACATTGTTTTGAACTGATCCAGTCGTTCCTATCAGATCGTGAAATGAAAGTTATACTGAATGGTCACTCGTCTAGATCCATTCGTACTAACGCGGATCTTCCCCAGGGCTCCATCCTTGGTCCTACTCATTTTTAAATTTTCATTAATGACCTTCCCGATGCCATCAGCCCATAAATTTACATTTACGCTAATGACACAACCATTTATTTCTGCCTCGAAAGTAAGGCTGATCAATCAGACAAGGTCAAAATGGAAGCCAATGTGCAAAACGACCTCAAGACCGCCGTTAACAGGGGCAAAAGATGGCTTGTTAATTTTAACATCTACAAAGCTAAACTTTTCTCCATTAATTATCTGAGAGACCCCTCGCTGCCTTCGATCAGCATGGCTGATGCTAACCTCCAGGAAAGTGACTCGATGCACCTTCTTGAGCTCACATTCTCAATTGACATGAAGTGGAAATACGACATTGAATCCATTGCTAGGTCAGCTGCTAAGAAAGTCGGTTTGATCCGAGGTGGAAGTTAGTTGGAGTAAAGAAACAAATAAGACACTGGTTTGGAGAAATGACCAAAGATTTATTCTCATTTACAAGATGTAAGAATGTCTCTGGTAAGTTGTATAGTGTAGTGTTTGAATGTATGGTGTGTGAAATGAGACTTGGTTATCGGCTTGGGCTGATTGTGTTGATAGTGGAGTGCTTTCTCTTGTGTTCACAGGTCGTCGTTTTCACAGCCTAATGGTCGGATGGACAGTCAGCCGTGCTCTCGGGTAATCTCTATGGTTATAGCCTATATAAGAGAAACGCACGGACGTATAAACATTTGTGGCAAAAGAGAGTCGCATCAATAATGGCCATCACTCTGGTATATTTGTATTTGTTTTGAGTAGCGGCGTGTGTGTGACTTAGACGAAAATTGGTGTGTAGTTAGAAATATGTTTTCTAATAATTGTAAAACTTTGGCCTTAATTCGTTATCATTAACTATGAGTAAAGTGTGTTTTTCTGCTACAGGTCCAATGTGTCGGGCGAGACATTTTTTCTCTCCAGAATGTACCTTACATATCTATACTTTTACCATTCATCCATGATTAGAATATTGCTGCCACATATGGTTCGTTGCCCCTGCTATTTACCTTAAGCTCCTTGATAAGATCCGCAGAAGAATCAGCAATATTATTGGTCCTGTTCTAGCAGCTCGGCTTCAGTCACTTTCCCACCGCCATTTCTATGTCTTTTCTATAAATACTTTCATGGTAATTTTTCGGATGTGCTCTTCGCTATTGAACCTAGATTTTTTGAATTTAAGCGTAGCATTAAACTGACGTCGCGATCTCCTCATTTTAAAGTTGAGCTGGCTAGATGTAGCCGTAAATTCTATGCTAATCAGTTTCTTTTTTTTTTTTCGCACTTGTCGCTTGTGGAACTCCCTTCCGGTCCCATTTTCCAGCTAACTTTAATCGTAAAAAATTTAAATGCAGTGTCAATCGATTCCTACCTGTACATTCAGAATAAGAATAAACATTTACTGAACATTGATAAAAGTTTCATCTGCATCTTGCTTAAGTAAGTTTCGAATTTGCCACCAGTGTTGTATATCTTGTGTTCTAGCTCTAATAAACGCTTCGGTGTGAGGTCAGAATTAGCAAAATTAAACTGGTTGACCATTATAAAAAATGATTAGTAAATAATATAAAATAATTAAAAATAAATAAATCATCATACTTATTATAAAACCCAGGTTGTGTGTGTGTGTCTGTTCGTTTATATATTGGATCGGGTTTCCTACATTTTTCAACCGATTTCAACAAAACTTCACAGGACTACGTGAAATTACCTTGTGGTGGTTCTAACAGTGCCAAAAATGGAAAAAACAATTGTTTTTACACGAAATCAATTTGAAAACACGATTGAGAGGCATCGCTGTCACGAGAATGAAAGGGGGACAACTCATATCGAGTTATACTTATTATAAAACCCAGGTTGTTTGTGTGTGTGTTGCTTGTTCGTTTATATATGGGATCGGATTTCCTACATTTTTCAACCGATTTCAACAAAACTTTACTTTTTTTTGGCAGGTATTGTTTTTATTGTCTTGCACTCTTTTTTCTTTATTTTTACATTCAGAATGTTTTAAAAATTCCATTTACAAG